TTGAAGAAACTCTTACCTGCCCGCCCACCTCTTCTTCAAGCTCTCACCTGCGTGGCCACCCCTGCTTCAAAATCTCACCTGCCCGGCAATCTCTGCTCCAAACTCTCACCTGCCCAGCAATCTCTACCCCAAAATCCGCGGGAAAACCGCGGGAAGGAAACCATGGGAAACCATGGGAAAGAGGGGAAAACAGCGGGAAAAGGCAGGAAAAGGAAGAAATCAGCGAGGAAACGGCACTTGGCCGTGCCTGGGGCGCGGAAAAGGCACTTGGCCGTGCCTGCAGCGCGGAAAGGGCACCTTGCTAGGCCTGCAGCGTGGAAAAGGCACTTCGCCGCGCCTCTCAGCCGGCTGTGCCGAGCCTCTCACCAGGCAGTGCCGAGCCTCTCATGGCGCGCAATCCGCCGCCTGCCACGTGGCGCACGATCCGCCGCCTGGTGATGCTCGCGTGCTGGTGGGAGAGGTATAGGAGAGTGCTTTTCCTCCATCAGATCAGCACCAGTCGTGTCGCGTCGCTGTCAAAGAGAAAACATTGAAGCGCGGTACCGATTTGAAGCGCGGTTCCGCGTTGCACAACTTTTCCGTCAGCTGGAAATTTGCAGGGTAACAGTAAAATATGCTTTTGTTCATGACATATTAATTTGATATGTTTTTACTGAGTTGAAGAATCAACAATCTAGAATATGAAAAGACAAAACACACAGAACATAATTACTAGCTGCATAAATGGAAATTCCAATCATGTAAATGTAATACATCTGAATGGTACAATGCATGGCAACATTATCGATACGCTAATTGATATATCGACGAGGACGACGCGTGACAAGGACGAGGACAAAGGTGACGAGGAGGAGGAGGAGGAGGAGGAGGAGGAGGAGGAGGAGGAGGAGGAAGAGGAGGAGGAAGAGGAGGAGGAGGAAGAGGAGGAGGTGGAGGAGGAGGAGGAGGAGGAGGAGGAGGAGGAGGAGGAGGAGGAGGAGGAGGAGGAGGAGGTGGAGGAGGAGGAGGAGGAGGAGGAGGAAGAGGAAGAGGAGGAGGAAGAGGAGGAGGAGGAAGAGGAGGAGGAGGAGGAGGAGGAGGAGGAGGAGGAGGAGGAGGAGGAGGAGGAGGAGGAGGAAGAGGAGGAGGAGGTTGAGTGCAATGCTGGGCCGTTGTGTGCAGTCATTGGTGGTGCTGAGTGCCCGTGAGCGGTGACACGCGGTGATGAGCGCTGATTAGGTTGGGAGCGGTGTCGAGTGGCTGTGAGCGGCTCTCGGTGATTTAGAGTGGCAGTGAGCGGCGCTGAGCTGTTGTGTGTGGTCATTGGTGGTGATGAGTGCCGGTGAGTGGTGACGAGCTGTGACGAGTGGTGATGAGCGGCTCAGAGAGGTGTGGAGTGGTGATGAGCGGCTTTGAGCAGTGCCGAGTGGTGTTGAGCGGCTGTGAGTGGTGCAGAGTGCTGCAGAGCGGTTCAGAGCAGCAGTCAACGGTGCTGGGCCGTTGTGTGCGGTCATTGCTGGTGCTGAGCGCCCGTGGGTTGTGAGGAGTAGTGATGAGCCACTCTGAGAGGTGCCAAGTGGTGATGAGCTGCTCTGAGCGGTGCCGAGTGCTGCAGAGCGGTTCAGAGCAGAAGTGAGTGGTGATGGGTCGTTGTGTGCGATGATTGGTGGTGCTGAGCGCCTGTGAGCGGTGACGAGAAGTGATGAGCCACTCAGAGAGGTGCCGAGTGGTGATGAGCGGCTCTGAGCGGTGCCGAGTACTGCAACAAGGTTCAGAGCGGCAATGAGAAGTATTGGGCCTTTGTGTGCGGTCATGGTGGTGCTGAGCGCCCGTGAGTGGTGACGAGCGGTGATGAGGGGTGATGGGCGACTGAGAGAGGTGTCCAGTGGTGATGAGCGGCTCTGAGCGGTGCCGAGTGCTGCAGAGTGGTTCAGAGTGGGAGTGAGCGGTGCTGGGCCGTTGTGTGTGGTCATTGGTGGTGCTGAGTGCCCGTGAGTGGTGACGAGCGGTGACGAGTGTTGATGAACGGTGTAATCTGACTAAGGTGTGACGTTGATGTCCGTCTCCCGCCTCTCGACTACTGCAAACAAGGATGCCTTGAGCATCACGGAAACAACTGTGAGTACTGTACAACACTCGTGGTTGTGCTCGTCTGGTGCTTCTGAACCGTTTGTGCCATCCCAACAATCAAGATAGGTTCAATGTGTTTCATTTCTCCGCATAATATCCTCTTGTATCAGTTTCCTGTACAGCATGCGAGCGTACTGGAGACAAAGCGTTGTGAATTTCAGTCCCAGTGCAAAAAAAAACCCTATTGTGCTGCTGTTGCTGCTTTTCTTGCTATTCTTGCTGCTGCTACTGATGTTGTTTCTTCTACTGTTGCTTCTGCAGCCCTTGTGGTGCTGGATGTGTTGACCCAGCAGGGACAATTGCAGCAGCCAGGCTGCATGAAAGACCCAGGCAGGTTCCTTCCCAGAATGCCCACACGACCTGCGGAGGACATCAAGGGGCAACAAGGGGGGGAAGGAACGAGGCGGAGGACTGGATGATTGGGGAGAGGGCGCGGGGGCTGCAAATCAGTGAGCAGTAGCAGTACACGCAACGACATCGGCAGCACAAGCAATGACATCGGCCGCACAAGCAATAACATCGGCAGCACAAGCAATGACATCGGCAGCACAAGCAATGACATCGGCAGCACAAGCAATGACATCGGCAGCACAAGCAATGACATCGGCAGCACAAGCAATGACATCGGCAGCACAAGCAATGACATCGGCAGCACAAGCAATGACATCGGCAGCACAAGCAACGACATCGGCAGCACCGACAGGGCAGCAGTAGCAAGCAGTGACAGCAGAGCTGCAGCAAGCACTGGCGGCAGCAGCAGTAGCAAGCAAGCACTGGCGGTAGCAGCAGTAGCAAGCAAGCAGTGACGGCAGCAGCAGTAACAAGCAAGCAGTGACTACAGCAGCAGTAGCAAGCAAGCAGTGACGGCAGCAGCAGTAGCAAGCAAGTAGTGACGGCAGCAGCAGTAGCAAGGCAAGCAGTGACGGCAGCAGCAGTAGCAAGCAAGCAGTGACGGCAGCAGCAGTAGCAAGCAAGCAGTGACGGCAGCAGCAGCAGCAAGCAAGCAGTGACGGCAGCAGCAGTAGCAAGCAAGCAGTGACGGCAGCAGCAGTAGCAAGCAAGCAGTGACGGCAGCAGCAGTGCCAAGCAGTGATGGTCCGAACAGAAGCAACCAGCAGTAAACAGCCCGAACAGAAGCAATGGCAGCAAACAGCCCAAAGCAACAGCAGCAAACATCCCGCGCAGAAGCAACAGCAGGTGAAGGGTGTGTTTTGGCACGACCAAAACTGCAGCATAGGGAGAGAGGGGAAAGGGATGGAAAGCGACGGGTGAGTGGGCCCCATGGGAGGGAGCAAGGGAAGTGAGGCGTGGGCAGGGGTTGTGAGCCCAGGAGCAAGGGAAGGTAAAGGCTGAAACATACTGGGTGGTGCTTTTCAGCCATGCCACGCCATGGTCGCTCGCCAGTTCAGCAGCAGTCTTGGTTGACGCTGCATCCACGCAGTCACCCAGAGCCAGGTGCTTTCTGCCGTGCCGTCGTGTCGAATCTCACAGCGGCTGTCATCATGCCCTCGCACCCGGCTGTCCAACCCGAACCTGGCAAGGGCGGAGAGGGCGAGAGAGAGGCAGAATAGCTGAGGCAGAAAAGGTGAGGGGAAGGGCAAGAGGATGTTACGGAGGTGGTGCTAGCTGCCATGCCATGATGATGCCATGGACCAGCCAGTCCCATCTCGCATGATGAGCCATGAGAAGCTGGTGATTTCTGCCATGCTCTCCAATTCTAATTCGTTTTGAACGAGCAGCGACAGTAGCAACGCAGCAACAGCAGGCGGTAGGTGGCCACAAAGAGCGAGAGGATGGCCGCGTTGACGAACGAGAGGCATCGCGCAGCGCGCAGCGCTTCTTGGCAACCTCTCTTACCGCCCCTGCTCCACTGAGCCCGACAAGAGCGGCACGCATGACACATGACCTAGTTCGAAACTAATGGTGGTAATTTAGATGACCGCGAAAGGCGCCAGTCGAACGGAGGATTTAAACCGCGCGCTAAGCTCAGGCCGTCGCATATTGAGGCGAGTGGTCGTGAAGATTCCGTGGAACGTTGGTCGCCAACGTTGGTCCGGCGGCAATTCTAGGTGAGCACGGTTTAGTACTATTAGTACGGCCACTACTTACTAATACTAGTACTAGTGGTACTACCGCTATCACGGTGTGTGAGGAGTATGTGGCAGCGGGAGTCGGTGCTACGGAAGAGCGAGAAAGTGGGCTTCAATGATACTATTATCTACTACTAGCTAATACGAACAACCATGTGCTACTGCTGTGAAAAAATATAGAAGCGAACGCGAGTACGAGGAGACGAGATACTGCGAGGAGGGAGCGAAATAATATTTTTTAGATGACTAATACTAACCGCTACGCGAATTCAGCGCTGTTGATATGTAACGCCAAGCGACTCGCAGGTTATGCGGACATTAGGATGGTGGGATGCGTATGCAGGCACTATCCTTGTGTGCTACTACCAATGGTGTGTCACATCACATCACATCACATCACATCAGGTCACGTCACGTCACGTCACGTCACATCACATCACATCACATCGCATCGCATCGCATCACATCACGTCACGTCACGTCACGTCACGTCACATCACCTCACAACACATCACATCACATCACATCACATCACATCAGGTCACGTCACGTCACATCACATCACATCACATCACGTCACCTCACATCACATCACATCACATAATATCACATCCACTCCCCATCCATCATCATGTTGCCTTGGAAAGTTCCAAAGATCCACACCAACATGTGTCGTCCTATCTACAGTCCACTCTCCCTCACAGCCTGCACTGTGGTCTGTGGTGTGATGTGGTATGGTGTGATTGTGGAATTGTATGTTGTGTAACACGTCATCATGTCATCTCTTACACGTCATCATCCATGCATGCTGTTGGTCGCCAGCTGGCAGTGCAGAAGGTATTGGATGCGCGCTTCCATCCGAGGGGCCAGCCTCAGCTTGTCATTGGCTGCAACGAGGTGAGCGGTGACTTTTGAGGCGCCTCAAAGGTGCGCCTGACATGACAGTTGCTTGCAACAAACATGACGACTTGTTGACTTCGAAGAGTCGACTCGAAATTAACTCGGTTCCACCCCAGGGGCAGGCCTCATCTGGTCACTAGGGCATGCCTCATTGCTGCAATGAGGTGCGTGTGCGCCTCTCATGACGGTTGCTTGCAATAATCATCACACTTTGTCGACTTTTGAGTCGACTGGAAAGTGAACTCGCTCCATACCAGGCCAGACTCAGCCTGTCTTGTCATTGGCTGCAATGAGGTGCGCCTTTCCTCGCGTTCCCTCCCTTTCATCGCATTCTCCTTTGTGTAAGGAACAGGTGCAATATCCTCTCATTCTCCTTCCTTCTCTCCTCTTCCTCACCTTTCTTCTCTTTGCCAGCGATAACAATTGCCCTTTGAGACATAATTCTTTTGCGCTTGCGACCGTAAGCGAATACCCTCACACATACGATCACCATGACCTTCTCTAATAACCCTTCTGCCCCCTGCCCCACCATCCCACCAGGCCCCGAACGAGTTGCTCCTCTTCGACCTCTCCTCCGGCTCCCACCGCCCCCTGCAAGGCCACGCCTGTCAGGTGTGTACCTAACCCCACCAAGCGCACGCCTGTTTTGTGTGCCAGTGTTTTATCACCTTCTCCCCCCACGAACCCTCACTGGTATCCCCTATCCGCCCCACCTCATATTCCTTGGGGCGCCGTCCCAATGCATACCACCGCATCACATCACCTCACAGCACCACACAGTGCCCCACAAACCACACCACAACACACCACGCCGCACCATTCCACACTATCCACCCCACCCCAACCCATCCCTCCCCACCGCATCACACCACGGCATCAGATCCAGGCGGTGGAGTGTGCCATGGATGATCACGCCATCATCTTCCCCATTGCTCTCTTGCCATGTATCGTCACTGCCATCACCATGCACCCCACCCACCCCACCCCACCCCACCCCACTACTCCACACCACATCACACCATGTCATCGAATCCAGGCGGTGGGGTATGCCATGCATGGTTACAACATTCCATCCCCCATCCTTCCCTCCCCCATTTCCCTTCCCGTGTGCCCCATCCCCATCACATCACATCCCCACCCCTCCCCACCCCTACCCACCCCACCCCACCGAATTACACCAAGGCAGATCCAGGCGGTGGAGTACGCCATGGATGGTGACGTCATCCTCTCCTGTGGGGGCTGTACACTCAAGGTGAGAGAGGACTTGCCTTTTTATACCATGCACTGCCATGCCATGCCCTGCCATGCCCTTGCAATGCCCTTGCCATGCCCTGCCATGCCCTTGCCATGCCCTTGCCATGCCCTTGCCATGCCCTTGCCATGCCCTGCCATGCCCTTGCCATGCCCTTGCCATGCCCTTGCCATGCCCTTGCCATGCCCTGCCATGCCCTTGCCATGCCCTTGCCATGCCCTGCCCTGCCCTGCCATGCACTTGCCATGCCCTTGCCATGCCTTGCCATGCCCTTGCCATGCCCTGCCATGCCCTTGCCATGCCCTTGCCATGCCCTTGCCATGCCCTTGCCATGCCCTGCCATGCCCTTGCCATGCCCTTGCCATGCCCTTGCCATGCCCTTGCCATGGTGGCTGGCTTGACATGACAGCATACTTGAAACAGTTTAGTTTCGGTCCGTCCATACCCACGAGTGTACTCGTGGCGAGGTTTCAGGCATCCCACGCGTGCCCTGCATTCAAGCCCGGGCTTGACTTTTGAGACGTGTCAAAAGGCATTTAACTCTTTCTCTGCATTCAAGCCCAGCCATGCAGGCTACAAGCCTACCGTCAATCAACCGCATTTCCGATCCACCTGCCGTGGCAACCATTCCCTTCAGGTGTGGGACTCCACGTCAGCATTGCTGCTGCACTCGTGTGGGCCGGGAGTTGCTGCCACCGCCACCGCCACTGCCAGTGGGAACCCGTCAATTGCGTGTCATCGCAACAAGATCCGTGCTCTTGCCGTTAACCAGAAGATGTCATGTGAGTCATGTGTGCATCTTGTCATGTGAGTCATGTGTGCATCTTGTGATGTGAGTCATGTGTGCATCTTGTCATGTGAGTCATGTGTGCATCTTGTCATGTGAGACATGTGTGCATCTTGTCATGTGAGTCATGTGTGCATCTTGTCATGTGAGTCATGTGTGCATCTTGTCATGTGAGTCATGTGTGCGTCTTGTCATGTGAGTCATGTGTGCATCTTGTCATGTGAGACATGTGTGCATCTTGTCATGTGAGTCATGTGTGCATCTTGTCATGTGAGTCATGTGTGCATCTTGTGATGTGAGTCATGTGTGCATCTTGTCATGTGAGTCATGTGTGCATCTTGTCATGTGAGACATGTGTGCATCTTGTCTTGTGAGTCATGTGTGCATCTTGTCATGTGAGTCATGTGTGCATCTTGTCATGTGAGTCATGTGTGCGTCTTGTCATGTGAGTCATGTGTGCATCTTGGCATGTGAGACATGTGTGCATCTTGTCATGTGAGTCATGTGTGCATCTTGTCATGTGAGTCATGTGTCCATCTTGTCATGTGAGTCATGTTTGCATCTTATCATGTGAGTCATGTGTGCATCTTGTCATGTGAGTCATGTGTGCATCTTGTCATGTGAGTCATGTGTGCATCTTGTCATGTGAGTCATGTGTGCGTCTTGTCATGTGAGTCATGTGTGCATCTTGTCATGTGAGTCATGTGTGCATCTTGTCATGTGGGTCACGTATGCATCTTGTCATATCAACAGAGGCATTCGCAGCGGCAGTGGCAGAGGCAGCGGCCACAGCACTGCCAGTGCAAACCTGCCGATTGCGTGTCATCGCGACAAGATCTGTGCTCTCTTGCCGTTAACCATCGGCTTTCCCGTGAGTCAGAGCAGTCACCAAGGGGGCAACGAGAAAGCTGACATAAAAAAGGGATGACAAAATGAGGAGCGGATGGCAGATGGGGTGTGATGATTAAGGGAGAAAAGAGGGGTAGGGAAAGTTGTTTGATGGGGTGTGATGTGCGCTCAGCCAAGCCCCTCGCCACCACCCCCACCCTGTCACTACTTTGCTTCCCACCCTGCACCACACATCAGACCTAGCAGCCACCAGTGGTGCCAGTGGGGACCCGCAGGTCATCCTGTGGGACGTGCGTGTAGCCAAGCCCCTCGCCCACCTCTCCCCCTCCTTCACTCTGCCGCCCAGGTGCTGTGCCGCCCAGTACTGCTCCGCCCATGAATTGTGTTGCACACGCCCATGTTTGAGAATTCTCAATAGGGATTGAAGCTTGCAAGCCAGCCATACCTTGATTGGCATGAGCTCTTACCGGTGGTGCCATACCAGCTGTTTCAAGCACCAACGACCAGTTTCTTTCGTCTGATCATCTGATAGATACATGCCTGATCAGATGATCATTGAATCATTCCATGGAATCACATGCTCTGCTTAGTCTTAGCCCACACCTCACTGTTAATCGTCTTTATGACTCAACCATGGAGCTGGCACGTTAGGAGCTGGAGGGGCTGCAGGGGCGGGGGGGGCAGCGGGGACAGTGGAGGATGCAGGGCCAGGGGTTATACCCTTGCGCGGGCCACATTGGTTGGTGGCAGGCAGAGTGCCTCAGTGCAAGTGCGCATGGCAATGGATGCGCTCTGCTTGCTTTGCTTTGCCCTACGTTGCATGTCCCAACATCCATTCATCCCCCAACCAACCAACCAGGGAAGAATACCCTGGTGCGAGTGCGCATGGCCACAGATGCGCCGTGCTTTGCTTTGTGTGGACACTGCACGGGACATCACATCATACATGTGCTTCCCCAACCCCAGCTGGGCAGTGGGAACAGCTGGCCAGAGTGCTCCGGTGCGAGTGTGCATGGCAATGGATGTGCTGTGCTGTGTGGACTCTGCATCACACATTGTTCAAACACCCCATTCAAATCCCATCAGGGCAGTGGGTGCAGCAAGGAAGAATGCAAGTGCCCCGGTGCGAGTGCGCATGGCTGTGGATGCGCCGTGATTTGAGCTACCACGCATTGCATGTCCCATCATCCATTCACCCCTCAACCAACCAACCCCCAGCAGGGCAGGGAGTGCAGCAGGGAAGAATACCCTGGTGCGAGTGCGCATGGCCACAGATGCGCCGTGCTTTGCTTTGTGTGGACACTGCACGGGACATCACATCATACATGTGCTTCCCCAACCCCAGCAGGGCAGCACGGCAACCTCCCCCGGTGCGAGTGCGCATGGCGATGGATGCGCTGCGCTTCGCTCGCCTTACATTGCATGTCTCATCATCCATTCACCCCCAGCAGGGCAGCAACGCAGAGTGCCCGTGTGCGAGTGCCCATGGCAATGGATGCGCTGTGCTGTGCGGACGAGCGCTGGCTCATGTGCGGCTCTGATACCACGGGATCTGCGCCGTCCACCATCGTCCTCTGGGATACCTCCCGCCCCACCTCCTCCTCCGCTGCACCCTCTGCCTCGCCTGCTGCTACTGCCACTCCTGGTGCCTCTGCTCCCAGTGCGGGACCCTCTGTGTTCCACATGCCTGCCTTTTCCTCAGTGAGTCCACTTGGCACCAAGTAAAGGGTATGTGAAGTTCTTACTTTGCCCTTCACCTCAGTCCAAGTGAAGGGTGATTTTTGAGACTGCAGGGTGATCTTGAGGGATTCACAGAAACACAGAGTGGGATCTTCTGTGTTCCACATGATCTGCCTTCTTCTCAGTAAGAAAAACAACCTCGTTTTCCTCTAACTTCATGTTATGTGTTGCCGCCAACCCCACCAACTGTGTCAAACGAGAGGAGCTCATGCCGTATGTCGAATTTCTCTGCCATTCATGTCACTTATGTCGACGTCTTCCCATCCGTAAACATGCTCTTTCCCTCCCCCACGCCCACGCCATCCAGTTCGTAACATGTGTGGCCGCCAACCCCACCGACTCTCGAACCGTCGTTGCTGGTGAGCTCCTCTCTCCCTCCCACTATGTCTCATCTACCCTCCCTCATCTACCTTTCTCCTCTGATATTACACACGTACAATTCACCAGGCTTCCCTGAAGCGATTGGACTTGCTTGTACTGGTGGCCTTTCTTTGATTGGTCCTCTGCTTCCCTTCCAGCCCCCTTACATTCCACTAGGAAGACGTGTGAGGCTCTCATTCCCAAACTCCATTGGCTTGCTCCCATCCTCGTGTCAAATGCACTCTCCCTCCTGTTCTTGCCATGCCACCCATGCCACCCATGCCACGCATGCCACGCATGCCACCACACATGCCACCACACATGCCACCACACATGCCACCCATCCTCACCACTTGTCCCATGCCTACATTCCATCCCCGCACTGCATACCTCTCCTCTCCACTTAGTTCACTTCCCCCTCTTCCTTTCCCTCTGCTTATCCCTCTCTCCCTGCCCACCTGCAGGTGGTGGATAAGGCAGAGTGACTTTATTTTACTCACGCACGTACACAAGGCCGTGACTCACCTGTTAAACAGCCCATGCCACCTCCGACCATGGTGCTTCCATCCCACCCACACATTGCATTCCCACCACATGTGCTTCTGCGCTCCCTCCCTCTCTCTCTCTCTCTCTCTCTCTCTCTCTCTCTCTCTCTCTCTCTCTCTCTCTCTCTCTCTCTCTCTCTCTCCCTAACCGCCTGCAGGCGGCGGGGATGGCGGCGTGGCTCTCTTTGATTCATGCACGCACAAGGCCATCACTCGCTTCTCACTGGGAGGCAGTTTTGAGGTGAGAGGGATCAGAGGGGCGAGGGGAAGGCAGGTGAGAGGGGGTGATGGGAGGTATAGGGAGGGATGGCGGTGTGGCTCTCTTTGATTTGCGCATGCACAAGGCTGTCTCTCGCTTCTCCCTGGGGAGCAATTGCGAGGTGAAGGGAGTGAATGCAAGAGGGGAAAAGAGATGGTGAGAGTGAGATGGCCTATATCAATGAAAGGGGGAATATTAAATCTGACGTCTCTCCTCCCTAGCGCACCCCATTAGCTGACGCCAGCACCGTTCAGCCCTTAACTGCTCCATGCCACTTGCTCCACCAACTGCTGTTCCTGCTCCCTCCCGTCCTCCTTCACAGCACTGCACCCTCCTCTCGATCGCCATCCCGTATTTCTCGTCTCTGTTCACTCCCTGTCACTTCTCCCACACGCCCCATACCCCACCTCCACTCCATCCCCCCGCACACCCCTTCAGGTGACGTCAGCAGCGTTAAGCCCGTGTGATAGATCCCGCTGCCTCCCCTCCTTCTCCTCCTCCGCTGCTGCTCCCCCCTCCTCCTCGTCCGCTCCCCCTTCCTCTTCCTCCTGCCCCTCCCCCTCTCTGCGCGCTCTCTTCTGCCTCTCCCACGGCCCACCCATGCCGTTAGTGCACACGGTGAGATGGGGATGGTGAGAGGTGGCGGTTGGGGGTTGGGGGATGTATGCGTGGGGCGTGTGTGGTGTGGTGTGGTGTGGTGTGGTGTGGTGTGGTGTTGTTTGGTGTGGTGTGGTGCCAAGCCAACCCCACTTGTTCCCGCTTGTGCGCACTTGTGGTTTGGTTGGAGCATGCGAAGAGCGGGGTGAGAGGAGGGAGGGGAGGGGGGGTGAGTGCATCGTGTGGTGTGCGTTGTGTGTTGTGTGGTGCATGGCGCATGGTGCATGGTATATGGAGCACAGTTCATGGTGCATGGTGTATGGTGTATGGTGCATGGTGCATGGTGCATGGCGCATGGTGTATGGTGTATGGTGTATGGTACATGGTGCATGGTGCATGGCGCATGGTGTATGGTGTATGGTGCATGGTGCATGGCGCATGGTGTATGGTGCATGGTACATGGTCTGGTACCTAACCCTCTTGATTGCCTTATCTCCTCTCGCCATCTACCACACACACTCTTCACCCCCCAGTGTTGTGGATTGTGGGGAAGTGGGATGAACGACACCGAATGTGTCTTTGTCTCGCGCCTCTTTCCACTCCCTTTCCTCTCCCAACCCTACCTTACACACACTCTTCCCCCCACCCAGCTTTGTGGATTGTGGGGACGAAGGGGTCAATGATGCCAGGTGGCTCTCTGCTTTGCCTGGCTTCGTGACTGCCACTGGCAATGGCAGGTGGGATTGCTCTGCCACGCTGGTATGCTCTGCCACGCTGGCATGGTAGCGTGTGAGAGGCAGTGACAATGGCAGGTGGGAATGTCTTGCTGTGCCATCCTGCCATGCCCTGCCATGCTGTCACCCTTCCAAATCCCCGTGAGCATCTTTTAGAGAGGGTCCATTTCCCCCTTCCCCTTCCCCTTCCCCTTCCCCTTCCCCTTCTCCATCCCCTTCCCCTTCCCCTTCCCCACTCCCCTCCCCCTCCCCATTCCCCTTCCCCTGCCCCACCCATCGCTGCCATACTCTACCAAGCTGTCAGCGTAACAATACCTCCTTCCCCACCCTCCCCCCTGTCTCCTCCTGTGTAGCGTGGCTGTATGGGACTTAAAGAGGTGACTTTGAGTCAACTCAAAAGTCACCATCTTCCCCACCCTTCTCCCTGCCCCCTCCTATGGCAGGGACCTCACTCTAGCCGATCCCCTCACTGCCTTCTCTTTCAACTGGCTCAATGATCAATCATGTATTCTGCTTACCCTGCAGCCCTTCCCTTGTTCATCCGCCGTCCCTTCAATCCCCCCTTCCCCACAGCAGTGTGGCAGTGCGGTAATCTGCCCGACCCACTCACTGCCCTCTCCTTGAACCTTCCTCGGTCATCTGTTCTTCTTACTTTGCGTTGCTTCTCTTGATTCTCCTGCCCCGTTGCCTCACCCCTTCCCCATGCCAGTGTGGCTGTGTGGGACGTCTCTTTGGCTGATCCCCTCACTGCCTTCTCCTTCGCACACACTCGATCTATCAACACTATAAAGCAGTCTACATGCCGTATGATCGTACCGTAACTTTGTGTATTTCCTTTATTCGGTGAGGATTGCCCTGTGCATCCTTTTCAATTACACTTATTCTAGACTGGTTCAGCCTAGAACTTATACGTTGCCCCTCTCTCTCCCTCCATGGGCATATTTTGCAGTGGCTGACAAGGCTGTTGCTTTGGCGTCCCCCTCCCTGCATGGCAGGTGGCGGGGCCACCCTGTGACGCCTGCATTGCCTTTTGAGGCGTCTCAAAAGCCTTTTCTTTGCTCTTCCTCCCCCTCCCTCCATGACCAGGTGGCAGTGGCACCCGATGATGCCTGCATTGCCATCGGAGGGGATGATCAGAAAGTGGTGAGCGCATTTCTCTCCCCTCTCCTCCATTCCTAGGTGCACTAATACATGCTCGCATGCAACAGCTTTATGCATGCATGTAGCCCACATGCGCACGTCCATGCATGCATGCACTCATTCTTGCACGCGTGTACGCAATCCAAGTGCTAGCAATTGCGTGAACCCGCACACACACACTCGCACACACACACTCGCACACACATACACACTCGCACACACACACACACTCGCGCACACACACTCGCACACACACACACTCGCACACACACACTCGCACATACACACTCTCTCACACACACACACTCGCACACACGCACTCGCACACACACACTCGCACACACACACTCGCACACACACACTCGCACACACACACTCGCACACACACATTCGCCTACACACACTCACCTACACACACTCACACACACACATTTGCACACACACACTCACACACACACATTCGCACACACACATTTGTACTCACACATACACCACATGCACTCAACCCTCATATGTGTACGAGCAGCACTAATGCACTTGCACATACATGCACACACATGCACACACATGCACACACATGCACACAAACATGAACACACCCTGTCAAATGTTCTTATCCAACTTTCTCATTACCATTTTGTGTTGCCATATGCTCTATCTCCCCTTCCCTGCTTCCATCCTCAAATCCTTTACCTCCCAGAATCGCTTGTAACTGTTTTATAAGTAAGGGACGACTCGAAAATAAGCTCTCCGCGTCGTTTTCTCCATTTGTTGCTTCCCCCCTCAAGTCCTCTACCACCCCCCCTCACTTTCCCTCGCCTCCCTTTCTTATGCCCATAAGGTGTTACCATCTGTACCTCTCTCCATTCAACCCTTCCCCCTTCAGGTCCTCCATCTCTCTCCTTTGACCGCCTCTTCAACCTCGACTCACTGGAAGCTCACACACCTCCTTGCCTTGTAGCCTTGCTGCAGCATGTTGCAAATGGTTTGAGGCACCAATAAATACTGTCATCGCTCGGATAGTAGACATGTATGTCTTATCTCGTACACTGCTCAAAATTCTTGAGTTATCTTGTATTTGGGATGGTTTAGGGTGTCTTATAAGTCTTATAAGTGGAAAAAAATATATAAGTACTCTACATCATTTGGAAAGTGTGTAGAAACCACCCAGGGGCCAAATTCATTGAAACAGGATGACCTTGGTGGTGATGCATGCAGCGCCTCCACTTGCCACATGGGGGATGCAGCAAAGCTGCTACTGCTGGCAACATCACTCCGTGCTGGTAGCATCTAATAATGCTGCCAGCGTCGTTTTGCTGCCAGCGTCGTTTTGCAGCCAGCACCGCATGGATGCTTCCAGAACGCTGCTGGCAGCACGATGGCAGCGTGAGGGCTGTCCTCTACGAGGAGATTCCTCGTAGAGGAGCGGCTCGGCACCTTTGGAAGGGACACTCTAGCTGGGGAAGGTAGTCGGCTTGAGCTTCATTTGGTGCTCAAAGAGGTTGAGATCTCAACTCAACCTTTGCTCTCGGCAGGCTTAACCATGCACAGCAAAGTCCCCGTAGGCACGTCCTCACCTCGCCCTCACGTGCAGGTAAATAACTACGGGCAAATTAACTCGCCCGGTGATGACATCCATGTAGACATGGCGAAGAATACGCGAAAGGCAGGAACATCTACTGCCGCCTCCGATGCGAGCTGTGACGGGGACGGCGGCGACGAAGAACACGACGACGACGACAAGGAGCATTGGCCGGAGAATAGCCACGACGACAACGCTTCAGGGGATGAAATAGCTCCTGCCAACATCGACGAGGACGAATGGTGGAATCGGCTGGTTGGGAGTGACGACGAAGTGGAAGAGTGGCGGGCTGGTGATCCAGACAACGACGAGGGTGCTGATGCTGATGGTGAGCACGCGAAGGCAGCGGCGTATGCAACGGGAGTGACGGTGGATGCGAATGCGGAGGCTGACGACGAGGCGGATGCAGAAGCGAGGACGAAAGAGGAGGCGAAAGCGGATGCCGATGTTGTTGTGCCCGCGGATGTGGCCGCAATTGCGGACGCGGATGTTGTGGGGGAACCTCGTCGACGTAAGTGCCTGTGGACTTCCAAGAAGCCATCTCCGCGTCCATGGCTGACTGCCACTGAGAGGAGTAGGGACCCTCGATCGCCTCAGCGTACGATCGAGGAGTCGGGATGTTTGGTGCATCCGGGTCTCCCTCAAGGGCGATCAGCGTGGACACGAGAAGGGGCAAAGCAGCAGCAAAGCACTGGACGACCGTGCCTGTCCTCAAGGACGTCCGTGCTAAGAGCACACTCACCCCCGACGGACGGAGGACAGACACACTCAGACTCAGCAACAAGACTAGCAGCGTAGTCTAGACGACAGCGAGCAGCAAAGTCGACAAGCTCAGCAACTAGGGCCGACGCAGAAGTGGACTCAAAGGAAGGGTCAGTGACAACAGTAGCCAAGAGACGCGTGACAGTAGGACTCGCAGTACGAAGAGAGTCAGACTCCAGGTCAGCAAGGATAGGAAGAGAGGACTCTGGAGGAGACGACAACAGGACATGCAAAGGAGCAGTGGACAGATGCAGTGCCATCTGGTGTGTGCCTGGGACCGCAGGAGGACGCGGACGCGGAACACGACGACTAGTGCGAGCAGCACAAACAGGCGACGCAGGACGAGACGCAGGCTCACGACGCTCAGCAAGACCTCCAGTAGGACCAGTGTAGGGAGAAGGAGCAGGTAGGGGGGAGGCGGGCGGTAACTGTGACTGCGACTGGACAGGCTGTGGACACTCTAAGGGAGGAGCAGGACCAGTAGAGGGCGGGAGACCAAGAACCTGCTCAAGGAGCAAAACGAAGTACGGCTGCGGCCGCGCAGCGCCTCCAGAACCAGCAGGGACAGCACCAGTACCCCCAACGGCAGCACCAGTACTAGAAGCAACCCCAACTCCAACAGCGCCAACTCCAGCACCCTCAAACGCACTAGCGCCAGCAGAACCACCAGCGCCAACACCCCCAACAGCTCCAGCTCCAGCAGCTCCAGCTCCAGCAGGACCGGCAGCTCCAGCACCGCCAGTAGCTCCAGCAGTACCACCAGCAGGACTAACTCCAGCAGCCCCAGCAGCACCCCTAGTCCCAGCAGCTCCAGCACCAGTAGCTCTAGCAGCTCTAGCAGTACCAACTCGAGTAGGACCGGAAGCTCCAGTACCGCCAGTACGAGCACCTCCGTGACCAGCTGCAACAGTAGTACCTCCAGCTCGAGCAGCACAGCTCCAGCGCCGGGCAAACCACTCGCGCAGCTCTTGCGGAGAGAGTGGCTCCTGCCTCGACGAAGCACCACGAGACACGAGCAGACCCAGCATCCCCAGGCTCCTCACCCCCTGGCTCAGCACCCCCAGGCTCAGCACCCCCAGACTAAGCACCCCCAGGCTCAGCACCCCCAGGCTTAGCACCCCCAGGTTCCGCACCCCTGGACTCAGCACCCCCAGACCCGGCACCTGTAGGCTCAGCACCTCTAGCAGTACCACAGTCAACAGCTACCTCGACAGGCTCGACTGCGTCTACCTGGGACACACCTGATGGGGCAGGACCCTGAGGGGGGAGGGGGTCTACTGGGGGAGGACCTGGCGCAAGGAAGAGCGGCGGCGGGGGAGGGGAGCAGTGCGAAAGGGGAAGAGACGGTAGTAAGGCATCGACTCGTCAAAGGTGATGTCCTGGGAGGACAGAACACGGCGCGAGGTGGGGTGGTAAAACTGCCACCCTGGCGCGTCAAGGGGGAAGCTAAGGAAGACGCAGGGAACACCACGGGGGGACAGCTTGTCCGCAGACAAGTCGCGGACAAACGCCCGAGATCCCTAGACCCGAAACGCAGACGCATCGCCATCCTTCCCCGTCCACCGCAAGGTGGGGGAGGTCTCTAACAAGGAGACCCTGGGCAGAAGGTTGAGCTTATGCGCTGCGTACTGAACCGCAAACGGCCACAGAAAATGGGGGGCAGCCGCATGGATCATGGACGTACGAGCGACGTCCATGACCATGCCAATGCGGCGCTCAGCAATCCCATTTTGCTGTGGAGAGGCCGGAAGCATGAAGGTCTGGCGGATGCCCTGTGCTCGACAGAAGGCTCCCAGACGGGCAGAGGAAAACTCCCTGCCTCTGTCAGAGTGCAGACGCAGAACAACAAAGTCCGAGCCAAAAATCTCTCTGAGCTGGAGACGAGCTGCGCGGATCCAGTCGATCAACACCTCAGTGACGTCACCCTTGCTGCGCAAGGGGAAGACTGTGGTGAAACGCGAGTAGTCGTCAACCACCAACAGGAAGTAATGCTCGTGCCCTGGCCACGGACGCGGGCGGGGCCCCACACGTCCATGTGGAGAGTCAGCAGAGGAGCCTCTGTCAGAGGAAACTCGGAGGAGTGAGGGGCGGCGCGCTGTCACCCCTCGACGTAGGGGACGCAGATAGGGGCAGGCCCCGGAGGTAGGGGAGCGAGAGACCGGGGGAGACCAGAGACAAGGACACGGGATGCCATGCCTCAGAGACGAGGCAGGGAGGGGTGACCAAGGCGGTGGTACCAAAGGAGAGTCTGGTGGGACAGGAGACGACACGAGCAGGGAGCAGACTCAGGACCAGACCTGGACGCTGCAGCAAACACCTGACTCGACGCAGCTACCTGACTAGACTCAGTAGCTGGAGGAGACTCAGTAGTAAGTGTGTACAAGGTCGACCCCGGCCGACGGGTGAACGTGGCCAAGTGTCGGCCTGTCCGAGAAATCGTGCAGTGCGTCACCCGCTGACTCGCAGGAGTGAACTGGTCAACCCCCCTATCCTGTAGATCAGCTCCACTCACCAAGTTCGTAGAGAACGAGGGGAGGTAGAGACCTGACAGTGTGCCAGAGGGGGCTGCCGTGCACAGTAAGATAGTGGAGAAGCTAGCAAGGACAGGACCCCCAGAGGGGTCCGCCAGGGAGACCGCAACCGGCCGACTAAGCGGCGTAAGTGTGGTGCGGTCTCGAAAGAAGGAGCGGGAAGC